TTTTCTTATAAAATAGTCCACTACAAGTTTTCTAATCGTATCCCTGTTGTGCTGCATAGCTTGCGAGGCTATGAACCTCATCTGATCATACAGAGGTTGGGAAAATTAAAAGGAAACCTATCACCTGTATACCCAACAACTCGGAAAAGTACATTTCTTTCACTGTGGGAGATTTGGTGTTCATTGACTCCCTGCAATTTTTGAACGTCTCTCTTGAGAGGCTTGTCTCCAATCTAGCAAAGGAGGGAGATGTTAGGTTTCGCGTACTAAAGAAATATACAGCTGCTGAAAAGGCACAGTTATTATTGAGAAAGGGTGTATACCCGTATGAGTACATAAGTAGTTTTCAAAAAATTTCAAGAAGCAGACCTCCCACCTATAGAGGCATTTTTCAGTACTTTACGAAACGAAGGTATCAGCGTAGAGCATTACACACATGCACAAACTGTGTTTAGAGAGTTTCAGTATCAATCACTGGGAGACTATCACGATCTTTACCTCAGATCAGATGTCTCATTGTTAGCTGACGTCTTTGAAAAGTTTCGCGATATATACTTAAACTATTACATTCTAGACCCAGCACACTTTTACACTTTCCCTGGTCTGAGTTGGCAGGCCTGTTTAGGAATGACGATTATGGAAATGGTATAACTCACAAACCCTGACTGGTACTTGTTTATCGAGGAAGGTTTGAGAGGTGGAATTTCAATGATCTCGAATAGGTATAGTAAAGCAAACTGCCCTTATGTAACGGGTTATGACAAAGATCCGGAATCAAATGATATTATGTACTTAGACACTAACAATTTATACGGATGCGCCATGGGTCAACCGCTACCCGAAGGCGGATTTGTCTGGTTAAACGAGGAGGAAATTATAGATTTAGATTTGGCAAACATCGGCGATGACGGTGAAGAAGAACATATTCTTGAAATGAACTTGGAGTACCCATCTGAACATCATGATATACACTCAGATTATCCTTTAGCACCAGAAAAGTTGAAAGTCACAACCGATATGCTGTCTCCTTATTGTCAACAACTGGCAAGGGATTTACGCTTGAAATCTGGATCAGTCTCCAAACTTGTTCCAAATCTCGACGACAAGACATAGCACATTGTACACTATCGTAATTTAAAACTTTATCTTACTCTTTGTCCATTGGGTCCTCAGCTTTCAACAAACCTCGTGGTTAAGCAAATACATTGAATTTAATACAGAGAAAAGAAAGCAAGCTGTCAATGACTTTGACAAAGATTTCTTCAAATTAATGGTAAACTCTGTCTTTGGCAAGACAATGGAAAACTCAAGAAAACGCGTGAATGTTAAATTGGTGAATGACGTGAAACAACTGAAGGAACTTACCGCTTCCCTTTCCTTCGGTCACTTCAGAATTTTTAGAAAGGAATTGGTCGCGGTCAATATGAAGAAACCCACTTTATAGCTCAACTAACCCATCTATGTTAGTTTCGCCATACCGCTGCTGGTACGTTTTCACCCTCTAACCCTCTAAAACATCTTACACCACGTTTACTCTGGTCTTAAATGCTTTTTTACCGAGTGCTTTTGCCCCCTGTTTCAGGCGAGGTACTGTCCAGCGAAACCAACCCATAAAGATGGACCCTACCCCATATTCTCTTTGATATCGACCTCCATGGAATACAGGTACGCTTCCTCCTTTTTGCTTCGCTTGATTTAAATAATATTCTTCATATAGCTTATGATTTGGAGTATGAAGTTTCTTCCTCTTATTGTTCAAAGTAATTGGGTTTACTCTGACGGAAATGAAGTGTTAGTAACACTTTTCCAAACTCAAATGACACAGACTCACCAGTGTCACGCTTTATATTTATTTCAATAGCGCATAGTTTCAAACACCTTTCTGTCAACCGGGATGTATTGCAGGTGTGGAAATGATTTGCTGAGTCGCTGACCATCGATTACCTGTACTTGGACAACGCGTAGCAAAGGTACAAGTGCGTTCCTAACGTACTGTGCTTTGACATCGTCACAATAAATGAATAGGTCGTGTAAACCATCTTCTATATCCGCTTCTCTTTCAGCCGTAACCGTTCTTTAAATAACACGAGGCTTAGAAAAACCAAGCAAATATGAAATATCTCAAAAATGGATTTCCGTGTTATTTTGTACATGAACGGTAACCTTTCTCCTGCGCGGATCAAAGGTAAATTTCACGTCATCTTTGAAACGTTGATTCGTTGTGACAAGCTCGTTCATTTTAGCGATAAAATCCTCAATGGTACAATAATGACCCGATGGGATGATCAATACTCCCCATATGGGAAATTCTTCATTACGAAGTAGGATGCGATTCATAAAATCCCCTCTAAATGTTGTTCCAGCTATGAGGGTAATGAATTTCTGTCAACGCTACTTCCCACTCTTCCTCCAGAGTAATGGTCTGAGGTAAACCAACTCGGTACTCAGTTAACGTGTTATCTAGAAACGTATCCAGCCTACTATCACTAGGTAGATGAGGGTAAAACTGAGTTGTTTCCATGCTTTCTAGTGATCAAATGGTCTTTCTCCAAAGGGAAATCGAACTTTATAATAGAGCACTCAAAGACCATTTCAGCAGTTTCACTTCATTTTATTGAACCCATAAATATGTTAAGGTACGCAAAAACAACCAATATTTTGAATTATTTTGAGTGTTATTTTATTTACGCAAAAGTGTGCAAGGTTTATTATACTTTGTTAAAATCTGTCTTTTGTTCTTATTAATTGGTCGCACGGGTTAAACAAAGGACTTTTACTTGACCCAAACAAAACCTTAACAGAACAACAAAGTTTCCCCTTCAAAATACTGTTTTATTAAGCTTCTATGTTTTCAATATCTAATTTGAGTTGGCTTGCGTTTTAGTGACAGAAACCCTGTCCATCGAGATCTCCTGATCACATCATTTAGTTACTCTTCATAGTAGTATAGCAACCGCTTGGGCATGAAAAAACGAATATATAATGACGTAGGTTATTTGGGCGCTGTAGAGGCGCTTGGGCATGAATATATAATGAGTTAGGTTATGGCGGGCGGTGTAATGGGTATAAATTGTGAATAAATGCATATATAATGAGGTAGGTCGAAAAGGACGGCTGTTCAGGCTTTTTATCGATTACTTGTCAACTAATCGATAAAAAGACTAATGTGTATATAATGAGGTAGGTTGAAGATGAGTTGCAGTACTGGTAAGACTGTAAGTAATTAGGTTTGTATTAATAAGAAAATAATGTTTGTTTATTTTATTTCATGATGGCGGAATACGAGTCTGGTTCTGTTACGGAGAGTTGTAGAGAGTCTGTGGACGACATCGTCAGTGGAGAGGATTTGGGTGGCGACGAATTTTCCGTGTGTTTCATATTCCGTGTAGATTCCGGATTAGCTGCAAACGAATTAGTTACTGCCATCAAAGACGGCAGTTTTGATAAAAAAAAAAACTTGCTGTTGTTATTCGACATCTTGTAGATCAAATCGGTCTGCAAAAGCATTGTCCGGGTATTGAGCGCTTGAGGATGAATAAATGAATATAGAATGAGGTAGGTTATGGCGGGCGGTTTAGTGGTGTTACGCGATATGTATTCGTTATGCTGATGGTGTTTGCTTTATAATTTCGTGTGTTGCTTGCGGGATATTTTATTACAGGAAGGTAATTATGGGAGACAATGGTCAAGCCAATGTGCATTGTCGATGTGTTGATGGTAACAGGCAACAGAAGTGTTCTGTTGCCTGTTGCTGCTCAACCTATTGGAAGTCTTCTTCATTCTTGATCAATTGTGTGTTTTAGTCTCTTCCTTAAGTTCACAGCCACGTAAGGTGACTAGAACGAAGTTAGCTAAAGGCGTGGATCGCTCTTTGTTTAGAGAGACGCTTATGGATATACGAATGCTAAGAGATCTTGACTGGCCACTGTCAATGAAAATTTATTTTGCAAACCTTCATTGATTCAGAACGACGCTAGAGATCATAGAAGTATACCTAGATGGAAAACGAAAAGGAATGTGGCCCGTAGCAGTGTTTGTATGTTTTATGAACCGTGCATACAGCAATGGAAACCTATTCAGACATTGGCCCGTGGCATTGTTTGTCCCTTTTATTAATCTTCCAGTGGCAGTTAGTTGAATCGGTAACGTGTCCACCTTTCAGTAGTTATTTTCAGTGCAATGGCAAACTAATAATTTACTGGTATTTAGATCGTCGCTTGACCTCATTCGACTGGTCCCAGATGTCGATTGGAGACCCTCATTTACCGTCTGGTTTTTGAATTTTATTTAGAGAAACCCTGGAAAGGCTTCCTTTTATCAGAGACTTAGAGAAAACACCGGGCATAAAAATTCTTTTAATTTCGTTGTGAAAAATTCTTGTTTGTTTATTTTAGACATGTTTTGAAGGACATCAGACGATGGAAAAAGAAAAGTTACTGTCCATTTACTAAATGGCTCAATTTTTACAAAAATAATTGTAGTCACTGTCAATGAATATTCGAGTTTAAGTTAACAGTAGATGGATTAAGAATGACTTGGAAACAAGAAAAGTGCTTCTTTCTGGAATTTAGGAAGAAAACGTGCTTGTAAGATTGCGAAATGCTGTAAAACAGTAATGTTAGGGTGTGTTCTAAGCACATGGAACGAAGGAAAACGAATCAGAACGCGGCAAGACTCAGGGGAACTGACATAAACCAATGATAGACTACAAGTGTGTTGGATGTATATGGACGACGCTAAACGAAGCATCGGTTCGCTCCTTGAGTAAGTTGTTTTCGCTAGCGGTCTAGATTCGTCTACATTTTTCTACGATGGCACGTTCGTTACCTCCATTGAGACCACGTCCTCAGCTTCACCGAGAACCTCATGAACCCTCAAGTCCTCTTTCCCTACAGCAACAGGCGCTGGTGGCAGTACCTAACCCCGGAGAAACCGCCCTCCACTTTTTACCACCATGGTATATCCTAAGACAGAAGTTGGAAAACAGAGAGTTTGAAGAAATGCGAGAAAAGTTTCGCAAAGAACATGCGAAAAAATTTAGGTATGTGATGGAGGAGTTAAAATGGGTAGACGATTTGAATTGGACCTGGAGTTTGTTTCCTAGCCACGTGGCGCTGTTAGTACGCTTAGGAATGTAAAGCTATTGAAAAACGTGCACTGGCCGCTTACAGTAATGTTTGGTTTGCAATTATAGAAAGACGTTGACGCAAATTAAATGGATTTTTGTGCGCAATTATGTCATTCTCTCTGCCTGGATGGAAGCTGCTTGGTTGGAGGCTGCGAATGTATAAAGTGTTATAAATTCTGTTGGAGGTTGCGAATGTGTAAAGTGTAAAGTGGTTTAAGTACTGAAATTTTGTTTTGTTTGTTTATAGAAAAACCCTTATGAATCTTCGATTGTTAAGAGATTTGGACGTACAACTATTTATGAAAATATTTCTTGTCAATTATCCTCTATATAATTCCCCTAGAGACACAAATAGGGAGCGATGGCCTATCGATATATTGTGCGGCTTTGTCAACAAAGTCATGGAAACCTTTTCATCGTGAAAAAAACCTGAAAACTTTTTCCTTTATATTCAGTTATATGTAAATTTTGTAAACGAAGTGTAAGAAGTTGTTTTTGTTTTTCAGAGACGTACTTATCCTTTTGAAACCTTGTTCCTGATGTTTCTTGGTCACCTTCATTCACTGCGTGGTTTCTCAATTTTATTTAGGGCATCCTGTGAAAGTATAGAAATGTATGAAGATTTAAATTGGTCTACAAGCCTAATTGTGTTATGATTATCAATGTAGATTATGTTTTTATTTTCTAGACATGTTGTAAAGGATTTAAAACATTGGAAAAAACAAATGTATTGCCCCTTTAGTAGATGGCTGACCTTTTCCAATTTTGGTCATTGTGATCACATTTTCAAATGGCATTTAACGTTGGATGGATTAAGAATGGCGTGGAAAGGCCAGCAAATTAACTGGCAGAAAGAAAGTTATTGTATGGTAAAATTGTATTCTAGACCCGCAGGTTTTCTAGTGGAAGAACTCAGTTAATGAAAGTGACTTTTTCCTTTATCTTTTCTAGAAAATCCCTGTTTGAAATCAAATGTCTCCCCTGTTGTCCTTTACAAAGGGGGTACAGCTCCGTGAAATGTCAATGCGATTGCAGATTAGGGGTGTTTAACCTTCTGCTTGATGACTGGATTAAATTTCAAAGCTATGATAATGATTTTGACCCTACTGAAGCCAATAGGCAATTTATTAGAGTGTACAGTGCTATTCCTGATAGAGATGTGTTATTTCAAAACCCTGACGAGTATCCCGAAGAATTACTTGAACAGTTAAACAGGAGGTTTCCCGAAGTGCATTAAACTTGTAAAACGCTTTTGCTTTTATATATTTCAAGAACTACCTAAGAAGAATTAAAATACAGACAATTGTGAAATTTACGCTTTGGAAAAACACAGCAGGTGATGAATTGTGCACACATTGTGTACGCATCGTGAGTTTAAAACTATGTATGGACGACATCACAGATGCTGGTTATTGGAAATATATGAACGCAACACCGTTACAAAAAGCTTAAATGCAACTAAAATGTTTTGTCATGTATCCACGTGTATTTGGAGAATTTTTGGCGAGTCGCAGTATGTGACTCATACGTCGTATTTGTAATGTAAGAAAGTACATTGTAAAAGAACAGTGAAAAGTTTTTGTCTAGGGAGAAAGCAAAAACAACATGAAATAAATGTTGTAGGGAAAGCGGGAAAATAGCTTGAAGCAGGAAAAACGAATTAAAGTATGTAGATGATTTGAATTAGACATGAAGAATGTTTCCCAGCCACGTGCTGCTGCTGTTACAGTCGAACGTTTCTGTTGTTTTATAGAAAGACGCTAAAAAATATAATGCTGCTAAAAGATCTTGGCTGGCTGCTGTTTCAGATTTTGTATTTTGCTAAAATAGTCGGATTTGTGTTGTAAAAGGGTAATTAACTAAAAAGAAATTGCATTCTGTTTTGTTTTGTAGAGAAACCTTGATGCTAGTAGAATGGTTGCCGTATTTGGAAGCATCTCTTTCTACATTTCGATTTTATATGTTTGTTGAAAGAAACATACTTATTGATGTGGATATGCTACGAGATTTAGATTTACCCCTTTCCGTCAAAGTGGACGTTTTGAATTTTTTGTTTGCATTAGGATTACTGGAAATCTAAGGAATGTAGTCTCGCATGATTCTTAAAATGGTGTTAATCAACAAGTGATAGTTACACGCAATAATCATTCGGTCTTGTGTTTTATATCTTGCGGACGAATTTTTTTGGAAATCAGGCCTTTGCCGCAATGCCCGTTCAACTTGTGGGCTTATAATGCAGAACGATGCGGATATGAATTTCGCCTTGGACTTTGCCGTTTACTAATCCAAGACTACTTGAAGATTATGAACTATGAAGACTTTGACGTTTTTCGGCCTTTAGTGAATTTAATAGAACCTATCCAGATATTCTTGAAAACCATGTATTTATTGTAATGAACCACTGATTTTGATATGCATTTATATATTTCTAGAAAAGTATTTGAACAGTTTGTCTACCGAGACGAATGCTAGCATACAGGATGGCTAAACACAGCCGATATGGAATTTTGCAGTCATTGTCTCAGAATTTTAAACTATAGGTTAACCTTAGATGATTTACATAGTGTTGGATTCTGGAATTGAAGTTTTCTTTCTTTATTTAGCGATACTAAATAAAGGCAATGAGGACTTGAATACTGTTGACAGTGAAATTGAAGGTAAGACTAGACTAAGAAGGGTTTATAAATGTGTTACGAGTGGCGGGTCTTTTATTGTAAGCTCCAACTAGAGTAAACTGGTTTAAAACAGTATACTGGTAAATGCTATGAAATGTATCGAAGCCCTATGACCTCTGAAGTATCCGTATGCGATGCTTTCCTCGCGCATATATCCTTGTGAAGGGGAGATAGAGCCTCTGCAAAAAGTTGAAAATAGGTACATGGAACAGTGTGGTGTTTCGGAGGGTTTTAATCCTTCGGAAGATTTTGAGTCTGCGCATGATAAAGCATGGTGTCAGGCCGTAGATACATACATGTTTTGGAAATCTGTTGCGGAGCAGTGTGGTTGTTTGACTCCCCATGATTGTTTTGACGAGCATGGTCATTGGTTTGGAAAATTTGTTAATTACGTGTAAATTAGAGTGAAATATATTAAGCCGTTTAATTCTAACATGGCGTTCACAAGCCGTTGTTGGCTTCATCGGGATGTTGGCTACGTAGGTATTTCTCGAAGGCTGGCGAGCATGAGATTTTATAATCCTAAATATGCGAAAATTTCGTATAGGATGCAGAGTACTTCATAGTTTTTTCGAATCGGCGGTGGGGTCATGTTTGTTGTGTATTTTATCGGGAAATAGTTTTTCCATCTTTCATGTGTTTGATATTTTTATTGTAATGTTAACGTATTACTCATTGAGTTTGTGTGTTGCGTGCAGGCATGTACTTTTTGTTTTGCGTTTTGTGTACACTGGCGAGTTTATTTCTATTGGAAGTTATTGCAATTTTGTGGTTGTTGATTTAACTTTTGGCTCACGGTTTCTATAGTATTTTTAATTAAAAATTAGTAATGTTTATTTTTTTTAACGAAAAAGCTTCCTTTGATGCCTGATGTTGCTGATGATGTGAAATATTCAGAGATCAGAGATATTCCGTGGGAAAAAGAAGACTGTTAGTCAAGCATGAAGATAGTAAGAGAGATGATTTTTGTAATGATTTTATTTTTGGTTTTTTCTAATAAAAAGATATTTGAAAGTTGAAGAGTTTTTTGTTTTTATTGGAAGAAAAAAATGGGGTTTTAGGATATTTAGTGGTAGAGTTTTTTTTAACTTACGTCTTAGGAAGTGGTATCATTTCTATTTTTTACTCTGCTTCCTTGTCATTGTTAATAGCAAGTTTACACTCGAATTATAAACTGGAAGGAATCAAGAGAAACAACTGGTTAGGTTTTAGGCTAATGATGAAACTTCACCCTAAAACAATTAGCAACGGATGGTAAACATAATTTAATGCGACGCAACAACATTCAAGAGTTGTTGACACAGCTGCTATCAATTTTTTAACTAAATGTAAATTAAAACTTTTATATAAGTTCATCGTACACTAACTATTCTCTCGCATTTTTCTTTCACGCTGTGTTGAGTTAACAACAAAAAAATCTCTTTTTTCAATCATGGCTTTTTGATTGACTGCCGACGCTTACCAGCAAAGACTAGATGCTCGCAAATCCTTGCAACACACAAACACAAATGTGCCTGCTTTCACCAGAACGCTAAACGAATCGCAATTCGCCACAAGACTGCTAGCCAGAAATAATCAAAACAACAGACCAGACAAACTCATCCTCTTGCACACAGACCACATGGAAAAGGAATCAGGATCTATGCAGCTGGTAAAAGACGGATGGTTCTATTTCGCCCCAGCTGACGACATGAAAAGCGATATCGTTTTGGAATACCAAGCATTCCCTTCCACAGCATTGAACGAGCCGTACACATTCATAGACAAACTCCTATGGCAATACAGACCTGTCATCAAATTCCATCCCGAGAAGAAAATATCCTTGTCGATTCTGAAACTGGTGAAAACCACAATCAACCAATTCTTGTGGGATAACCTGACGGCGTTTCAACAAGGCAATTTGCAAAAAGCACTTGTACACGAGATCGTCTTGGGAAAACAGAGCACCTTTTTCCCAACCCGTCTGTCCGAAAGAGTAGTACACGTACATCAGAGATTTTACAAAGAAGAAGAAAAAGAAGTTACAAATGACAAGATAGCAAAGATCATCAAACAAAGCCTCTTCATGACGAATCAGAAACTATGGGAATCTCAATTCGCGTTTGATGAAATACGCCCAGACAGAGATTCTCTATACAGCATCGTGGAACTGTTGGACGAAACGTTTTTCACCCTAGACGTTCAAGAAAAAAAACATTTGGATCACCAACTTCATGATGCACGACATTGCACGACCGATAAAAGACCTCTTACACTACAGACGACTGTTACCGATGAAGAATTTCTACGGGACGGAGGGTTCAGTTAAGTAAAAAAATATCAACCAGGCAGCAATTCGAAAAGGCGCGCTATGAGTTTGTTAACCTCTATAGATTCTTGATTAATATGGAGATGTTTTTACCAGATTATGTGTGAAAGAACTTCATAGTTTGCTTTGTTGTGAACTGACGGACTGGTTGCGACCGGCAGAAGAATATTTTTGCAGTCACTGTTTGCGTTTAAAGTAAGAAAGGAAGAGTATTGATGGCCGGTTAAAAAACCGGTCGTTTCTCTTTGAAGAAACTTTGTATTTGATTCAGTTGTATCAAGATCGTTTTGCTGAGCATGGACATTTTAATGTTTAGATTCTTCTTTTTTATATTTTCTTATAGAGCGACTCTGGAACAACTCAGGCGCGAACCTGGCGCGTGGACCTTTTGGGTTTCTTCTCCCAACAAAGAGCAATGCAATCATTGTGCTAGAATCCTCCACCATCAATTATGTATTGACGATCTCGTAACATATTGTAAATATTCTCCTTTTCAAAGAGGTTTTCGACTTCAATTTTGGTTGTTGGAAGCAAGATTTAAATGTTATGATCTGTGCAGTGACTTTTTTGAATGAAGTAATGAACCGAATAAGTGGCTTTTTAAATTAAACATTGTAAATAAAGAAAGAATCAAACTTGGACTTGGTTTCATTGACTTTGGGAAAAAAACAACATGAGTTCAGTGATGCAATCAATCCTGAAACAGGGAGAGACAGTTCGTGAAGTAGTACTATCATGACAAAGAGGGACAGTTAATAAAAAAAGCCTAAACAGCTGTCCTTTTCGACCTACCGCATTATATATGCATTCATTCACAATTTATACTCACTACACCGCCCGCCATAACGTACCTCATTCTATATTAATTTATTCATGCCCAAGCGGTTGCCTTTACAGCGCCCAAAAAACCTACCTCATTCTATATTCATTTATTCATGCCCAAGCGGTTGCCTTTACAGCGCCCAAAAAACCTACCTCATTCTATATTCATTTATTCATGCCCAAGCGGTTGCTATACTACTTTCATTTAGTGTAATCGGTTAACAATTGTTTGAGAATGGTTGCCAAGTAAACATTTTTTGCTGGATAATCCGTGTAATTATATCTGTGCGCTAATTAACAATTATTCTTTGAAATCGAGGTGAATAGTGGCAAAATATTTACCGAGACGCGAAAGCGGCGAGGTAAATATTCCCAAAGCCACTATTCACCGAGATTGAAAAGAATAATTGTTTTAGTATATACACATTAAGTGATCTCAACAAAATCAGAGAGGAAACCATTCAAAAGTACGATTTGATTGACAGATCAAATCACGCGTAAGTTTAAAAATAGATCTTTGCAGAAATTTCAAACATGGCAATTCACAAGTTTATCATTTCGCAAACAACAGCGTAATGGCTTAAATGGAACCGCTAAAAGTTTGAACTGTTTCCTTACCTGAGAAGAAAAGTAGAGCTGTGTTGTTTTCTGTTGACTCGCCACGTTTATAGCCAAAAGGGTTTGTTGTGTCGTTCTTCGCATGAAGTGCTGACAAAAATGGCGGCTCATTTGCTCGAGGTAAGACGTCGTCTTTCTGTATCATTCTTTTTCCTGTTTACTTGAAACGTAGAATTTCTGCAAACATTTCCTTTTAAATTTGTTTGTCATAAATAAACTTCGATTTTTGAGCCGAAATTGTCTTCTTAGAAAACGGAAACGGCTTCTTCTACGCGAATACACGGGAGTTGTAAACAATCCATCGAGCACAAAACTCCTGCTACTACTGAGTGCTACAGTAAATTGAAAAACGCCGTATTGAATCCTTCCAAGTCTTTTCTTGCCTTAAAAAAAGTCAGCCCTAGGATTCTGTCGACTTTTAAAAGATCGTTCTCTAAAAAATGGGAAAAACAGGGAGCTCACACATTATCCACTCGCTGGGAGGTGAATATTGTTGATTATTAAAAACTGAATCATTGGATAATGCAATTCTAGCATTTTGATTGGCTTAGCCGTTATGGTATATGAGCTAATATACCATGTTCTCCATATATGGTCGGTATACGCGTC